CCCCCCCCCCCCCCACCGCCTTCCTCTCCATCCTCTTCGGTGTTTTTGGTTTGGTTTCTAACTTTATTTTGACTTTTTTTGGTCGGTGTTTTTCTCCCGAGACCTGGCTGTCTCCTGATCTCTACTGTAAACCTGGTGGGAGAGTGAGGAAAACACGGCGCCGCGGGGACCGGGAAGGCCCGCTGAGCGCTCGGATTCAGGATTGCGGTGACGCAGAAAGGTTAAGGCACTTTTAAAAAACGATAGCAAGGCTCATCCTGTTATTTATTCTACTTTCTGTCCCTAATAATCGAAACACCGCATAGGCTCCTCCGTTTATCAGTATTAATGGTGTAACTTTGTTGGCAATATTTGCCGCGTAGATTTTTTTTTTTTAGGTATCCATTGTAAATTTGAAAGTAAGTCCGATCTGTGTAAAGACAAATTTCCATATGTTTTATATAAATAAATATATATATATATATAAAATGAAGGCCCCCCCCTTTTTAGTATTTTGGCTGCTGGGGTGCAGCGTTTGTGACACGTATTTTAAATTTCCTTCTGCACTGTATAAAAATGACAATTTGAGGATGTTTTTTTGCCTTTTGTGTATTTTTTCCTAAAAAAGAACAAAAATAAAAATGTATAACATTTGTACATGGCCTTTAATATTGTATCAACTAGAAATAAAATCGCATGAATATTTTATTGGGATTGGAGAATATCTTCCGAATACAGACAGAAACGAGCCTGGGATCTCCAGCCTTTTTTTTTTTTTTTTTTTTTAATTTAAAGTACGGATGATTCTTAATCCTTTTTTCTTCTTTTTTATTTCTTGGCTAATCCTTCTCTTTTCACCCTTCATTTCACGCTGAAGTGAAATCTGGACACGAGTAACTCTTTTTCTTGGCTTCTGTTTTTTAAGAAGAGCCCTCTACCCCTCTAAATGTCGTTTCTTGTTTTAAAGAAATAAGCAAACGTTTAAAGAAAAACTGTAGTTGTCCCTCCCCCGGGGAAAAAACATATATATACGTGTGTATATATATATGTATATACGTAAAATATTTTACACTTTTGTTTTGGCCACTCCAAGACCAATGAGAATTGTACTTTGAGTTTCAGACATTACTGTTGCCATATTCTAGCTGTTATAAATCATGGAATACCTTTTAAGGTGGTTTGTTTTTTTTTTGGTAGGATTTTTTTTTTTTTTTTTTTTTTTAATGCCCTGCACTTGGTTTTCCCCAATGGAGAATCGAGTAAAATTTGAGCAGGAAAAAGGCTGTTGGTGGGAGAGCAAGGTGATAGGCATGTTTCCAATCTGCTTACATTTCCCCCTAAATCATTAGGGGGAAAATCCATTTTAAAAAGTCTGTCTCCCCTCCTGACCCTCCTTCTATTCCAATTCCCAGCTACCTAGGAAAACAAACACAATAAAGTCACATTGTCGGTGCAGCCGTTCAAGACCCACCGCAGTTTCTCCGCATCGTGGGGTCGTGAGCCTCTGAACCTGGTTCTTCTCAAATTTGACATTCTGGACGTGAGGGCAATTTCTCCGGTGCTCTGTTACATCAAAATTATCAATAAACTCGCCCAGGCAATTAATGCCCCAAACTAACAGCTGTCTATAAAACCGAGATAAAGGGCACAGGAAGAAGCCGGCGACTCTGTCCCTCGGGGTCTTGGGCGGCCGAAGCGGCGGGTCCGGGTCTCCTGGGCAGCGGGCGGGGAGCAGCTTCATGGAGGGTGGAGGAGGCACTGTCTTCCGGGGCAGAGGCCACCTCTCCGCACCCCCTGCCTCCCGTTGGTGCCCAGAACGGGGCCAGAGAAAAGCCCCCAGGCCTCCAGTGCAGGAACGTCGTGCTGGGGCTCCAGACAATCTTGGCAGGGAGGCAGGCAGGCAGGAGTGGGGCCCCCTGCTTCCTCCATCGGAGCCTGCGCCCCAATTAGGATGGAGGCTCCGGGGAAGTGGGGCTGATTAGGAGAAACCCAATGCCAGCCCAGTCGGCGCGCTCCCTGTCTTCTCGGGCAGCGTCTCCAGCCCCCCGCACCCACTCCCTTGGCCCCTTGGTGCGCCCTGGTAGCACGTGGCTTTGGCGCCGCTGGACCAGAGTGGGGGGTGGGGGGCGGCGGCGAACCCCGGTCTCCTCTTCATCTCCCCCGGAGCGCCTTCATTTCAGCAAGATCTCCCGGCGTGCTCAAGTCCGGGCCAGGCCAGGGGGGAGGCACCCAGAGGGGCCTGTGCAGGAAAGCCAGCCCTGAGGAGCCCAGTGATCGGGGATGGGCCTGGCCTGCCTCGGGCCTGACCTGGAGCCTGGGGATGAGAGCAAAGTCCAGCCTTCCCCACGGGGAGAGTGTGGCTCCAGGCACACCCGAAAGGGCCAGATTCTACAGGCCAGATTCTACAGGCATAATTGCCTCCACGCCCAGGACCAAGATTTCACAAAGCCGCCCTGCTGCCCCTGCGCGAGACCACGTTCACTCGAGTCTTCCCCAAGGCCCATTTCGGCCTGGCTCGCACAGGGACCACAGGGATGAAGCTCCCACCACCGGTGCCAACACAAAAGCGTGCACGGCTTGTGCAAGTTACCGGCTTAAAATGCAAAGGCGCTTCTGAGTCCGGTGCAAAATCACACGCCCTGGGTGCATAAAGGGGTATCATTCTGGCTTAGGGACATTTTCGAGAGAATTAATTCAAAAGTTCTGCACACATCTTTAGGGGGCTTGCCCTGGAACAACGCAGTCAAAATACCCCAAGGGTATGAATACTCCCCAAAACAATAGGCCAGGAGGTGGGGCAGCGGCCAGGATGTTCACGATAGGGCTTCTGTTCGTGGATTACACCTCCCGTGGCAGTTCTCTGCGCAGGGCCGACGGCTGGGACACAGCTGAACCTCGGCTGCAGGCCATCGCAGCCCCAAGTGGCGGCAGCAGCGGCAGCAGCAGCAGCGGCGGCGCCTCAGTGCGGTGTCCCGGCTCCCCAGCCCCTGGCAGACGGGAGCTGCAGGCCTGGCGACCAGTCGGCACTCAGGGTGCGTGCTTCCAAAGGGAAAGTGTCTTTGCCCTTTGGGGCTGGAGGGCTAGGGACAGGGAGGGGAGTGGGGTGGGGGGGGGACTGAAGGCCTGGCTCCCCGCCTGCAGCTCTCCTGGAAGCAGTACAAAGATGGAGCTAGAGTCCCAGCTCCAGCACCACTTGACCTGGGCGAGACATGTTACCTCGGAGCCTCTCACCTCAGTGGTCAGCGAGGTGACACCTGCCAGGAGCAAGAGGACAGCCTAGCACCAGGATGCCCAGCCAGGAATGGCTATGAGGTGCAGGCATTTCTTATCCTCCTCCCCTGGAGCGTGGGGTGGGTGTCAAACGAGTTGCAAGAACCCATATTCTGCAAGGCCTCCTGCTCAGGGACTCGGGCAAGCAGCTTGGGAACCACTGGACGCCCCATCTTCCAGTATGACGCACCTGGACTTTCCCTCTGTTCCCAGGGAGAAGGAAGACGTCCCACTTGGCTCCAGACATGGAATTCTAACGTGGGGCTGAGTCAAGGGTTCGGTTCCGATGTGGACCCTCCCCAGGATCTCCTAACCCTGCGCTCAAGGGCTTCACTTCTGAGGGTGGTTCTGCCCTCCTCCGAAATACTAGCAGTGTCTGCTCAAACCGCAGGTGGGGGCAGGGGCAGGTGCTGAGTCACTGGACTAGAATCTCTGGAGGTGGGGCCCGGGAATCCACAGGCTCGCAGATTTCCAGGTGGTCCTGATGGGTGCTAAGTTTAGAGTCTCTCCTCCAGCATTCTCTGGGCTCCTGAGAAAACCCCGGTGAAGGAGTCTCATTGCGGCCTCTGCTGCCCCCTCCCGCC